TTGATCTGGGCCTTCTCCTGCTGGCACTTTCAGAAGGGCAGCATGCTCCTATCCTAGTGCTTTAGGGTGGAGAAAATTCCAGAGAGCAAAACAGCCTTCCCGAGGTGTCTGTGCCCTTTCTTCCCACTTCTTAACCAGGAAAACTGTCTAGAATTTTAGAAGATGCTGAACAGAAAGGCAGAAATTACTTCAGGATTTGGAAAAGGAGTAGAGTTTCAAGATTTCTCACAACCCAGGTCTTCACCTTCTCTCCAGGCCTGTGGCCAGTGCCTGAGCATCTAGCCCTAAAGAAAAGAAAAGTGACACTGTCTGAGGCTGTGAGCTGGGGAGCCTGTTGTGAAAGCCAAGACGTCTGCCCCCTCTCACATCTTGCAAAAAGAAGCTTTCTCCTTTGAGCACGTAGGGGCAGTTCAGGTGTGGAATCCTGGGCTGACTCCTGGATTCACATTGAGGGCTCAGAAGTGAAGGTGGAAGTCAAGGCTGATCAGGCCTGGCATGCATCATCTCTTTCTTTGCACTTTGCTTGAGAATTAAACTGTGGAATGTAGAAATATCCCTCAGTCTGAATGTTCTCTTAAAAAAGTCAACAGATTCCTTCAAGGAGCAGGCAACTCGGGGTTAAAGATTCTAGGGAAGAGGAGGAAGAAAATGTCACTCAAGAGGGAATTAAATCTCTGACTCTCCTCAAGATTCTTGTATCTACTGGTTTGTGGACTTTCCTATAAAAGGGGAAAAGATATAAACATAAGCCAGCGGAGTTTACAGAGTGTTAGGGTTTCCCTGTCGCTGACTCCAATGGGTCTCGGTTTCTCTGGATTGTACTCAGCGATTTTCTGGGCTGTCCCTCTGGATGATGAAATCAGAGCTGGGGGTCCACTGGAGGTTCACTGGGGATCAGGGGCTAACTGTCCAGATCCTGGTTGGAATAGAGTTAAATGAGACAAGAGAAGTAGAAATGCTTTTCCTCCCTTTCCCCCCTTATCTACAAATGACCTGGACTCAGAGACATCTCTATTTCTCAGTCATTTCCAAACTCTGGTCTTTGAAAAGCTAGGGGCAGGAAAATCAAGGAGAGAATGCCCTCCCGACTGATCTCGGCTCCGCCTTTGGTTTTGCAGCCCAGGAGTTGAGCTGAAACGGCTGGTTCGTGCTCGGAAATCCCACTGCTCAGACTAGGGCAAGGAGGGCGTTCTCTCTGCGACTTCTCCCTCTGCCCTCTCCTTCTCACCGCTCTGGCCCCTTTTTGCCCCCTACAAACACACCTCCTTCTGTTCCTGGAGCTTCTCTGTGTGTGTACGCGCAAGCGGGAAAGCCAGCAAGAGAGAATGAACTGCAAGGGGGAGTTTGGGGCCGTGTGTCCACGCACATCTTCTTCTCCTGCTCATCTCACCATCTCGCCAGGGAAGTTGAGTGTTGGGTAGGAGGCTGATGGGAGGACAGAGCGCAGCCAGAGTGAAGAGAGTGTGGGGGAAGGGTCAGGAATTGGAAAAGGAAAGGCTTATGAGGATTCGAAATTCACCAGAAGCAGAGGCGCTGGGGATACCGGCCCCAAAAGGGGCCCGGGCACCCCGACCGCCCAAAGTGACCACAGACGCCTTGGCTGAGAGTCACCAGCATCCTTGGAAATGGGCTAGAATCTGCCTTCAAAAGCATAATCAAGCAGGGTGGAGCAGCCTGAAGAGCAAAGCACAGGGGTCTGTGGTCTGGCCAGGGGAGCCACATGGAGGGGTCTTTTGCTTCCAGCCCCAAGCTACTTGGATGCTGCCCAGTCCAAGACTTCAGAACGGGTTCTGGGAAGCCAGCTGAGTGGGACAGAAGCCCAATTAACTTTGCTCTTAGGGCATGATAAGACTCAGGCCTCAGGTTGTGTACCAAGTTCTTTTCCTCTCCAGTTTTCCCTGTCAGGCCATACCCCATGCCATGAGCAGACCAGATTCCCTCAGATTTGGGTCTGAGGCGAGCATCTTACTCTACACTCCACGCAAGAATTGAAGGAGATTGAAGGTGGGTCAACTTCTTTCTCTCAAGAATAGGGGTGATTTAGAGGTCTATAAGATTCCCTTAGGCCATCGACAGGAGCAAATCCTTGGAATGAAGGGTGCACTTCTTAATCTCACACTAGGGAAGCGATCTTATGAGAATTCCAGAGAAGGCAATGAAATCTTGAAAGGACTCCAGTGAAATTCTCCAAAAACTGCGGAAGAATTCCGCCCAGAATTTCAACAGGCTGGGCGTTGGGAAGGGTCTCACACTGCGCGTCTCTCCCCAGGGCCAGGCAAGCTCAGCCTCTCTCTGGGGCTGGAAAGCACAAGGCTAGGCGAGAGTCAGCACCCGGGAGCGGACAGCTCCCGGCCCGGTCCCAGCTCCGCCCTCAGCCAGCCTAGGGTGGAGGAGGGAAAGCAATGTCTCTACAGGAGTGGTCATTTAGGCGAGCCGCTGAGCTCAAGGGCAGAGAGTATAATTCAATCTACCCCCCATTCGTATTTAGGGAGTCTTTCAACTACCTTTCCCTTTTCCCCTTCTGTCAGGGTACTCTCATTTTGGGATCTTAGATCCAACCTTTCAAAATCTCAGCATGCCTGACCTTAAGCCCCAAACTCAACACTACAACCCCCATTTCAGCCCTAAAATGAGCAGAAGTGTTTTCGGGGGGAAAAAAACAGTTTAAGTACGCAACATCAGAAACAGCCCAGTCCTGGTACTTCTCAGTGTGTTCAGGCTTTGGGATGGGGAGGGGCTCTTTGGGACTTAGATGCCTCTCCAAATACTCCAGGGATCTAGTGGGTACTGCCGTCTTGGGGGGAGGGGTTCTTTCAGGGAAGTCAGCTCAGAGCTCCCTCTGCCCCGGAGGGCTGGAGAAAGAACTGTGAGGTTTCCTTGCCTGAGAGGATCCTCCGCGGTGCCCTTTCTCTGTCTGCTTATGTTGAGGGCTTCCCTCTTTCGGGAGCTGCACCAGGCAGGAAGGGGGTTGTCTTGATGTGGACCAGAGGGCTTCTCGATGCCCTGTCAGGGGAAGCTCATGGCTAGGCTAAGCTCCACTCTACCTGGTGGGCTCCTAGACTCAGTTCCCACCCCACAGAGCTCTGGAGTGTTCCTCCAACTTCATCAACACCACTACAAATTTTAACATTCCTGAGGCTAAAACTGGCTGATTCCCCTCAAACACAAATTTAAGACTGAAAAGACTTCTTCCGTTAATATTTCATCCTCATAACCTGATAGTTTTTTAAATTTAAAAACACCCCTATCTGGCTCAAGTGATTGTCTCTTCACCTCTGCACGCTTGTTTTTTGCAACAGTGGGCAGAGGGTCGTAAAATGACCGACTACTCCCAACTCATTTTTCAGTGATGAAAAGATATTTTGTTTTTAAAGGAGGTGCATGTGCGTGTTTGGGAACTGAAGGAGTGTAGGGAGATTAGTGCAATGCTTTGTGCTTGGGGGGTGTGTAAGTCTGTGTAAGGTCTGGGAGAGGCAGCGAGTGTAGCTGTTTTGGTGCCCAGTGGGTAAGTGTGAGGGGGTTTGCAGTGAGGGAATCCCACCCAGGAATGTCCAGGGGGTACCTCTACCTGGCCACTGTACAGTCACTGGACTCTGTTTATCACCTGGAGCCCCAGCTCAATCCCCGGAATGAAAGGAGGCCACCGTGAGAAACCGGGTCCGGCTTTGCATCTCATTTACATAAATATTTATTAATCGTCATTAAACTGAACAGAAACACGCAATGCACTTCGGGTGTCCGACGGGAGTTTCATCTTCGCTACAAGAGGAAGGTAAAATTGCGTGTGAGCGTGTGGGTGAGTGTGTGGGTGAGTGCGTGGGTGTGTCGCCTGTGGGTTTGCATTTTTGCATCGTGTGTTTGGATGCCTCATCTCCTGCCTCCGGTGGGGAGAGGTTCTCCTTTTGCCCCTTTTTGGGGAAACCTCCAGAAGGAGCCCTCAGCCCTCTCCCTGCCCAACTGCCAACCAGAGCCAAGAGTACGCCTCAGACAAAACCCCCTCTCCAGCCTCTAGCCACCAGCCACGGGATATCGCCGGCGCCTGGCGCCCACCGAGGCACAGTCGGGCAGGGGCGGGGCTTTCCCTAGGACTCGGTCTCCACCCTAGTCCCGGGTAGGGATAGGTGCCTGCGGGGAGCTGGGGCCGGCGGGCTCTTCTCCCTCTGCCCTCGGACGCCCGCGCCGGGCCTGCGTGTGCGTGCGGTGTGGTGTGCGTGTGTGTCTTTCATGCAAACCCTCCCTCCCCAAACCGACCCCCCCCAACGATTTGCCATTCCATACAAATTTGGAAACAGGTTTTTTAAAAACAGTATGACGCACAACGGGGACGGGGTGGGGGAGGGCAGTGGCACTGGGGCCCCAAATCTCCGAGTCTCTGATTGTAAGAACCTGGGGAGGGGAGGGGGCAGCGTCGGCCCCCACTTCACCAAAGTGCACAGATCCGCGCTTGGGCGGCGCGGCCCGCGGGCCGGGAGGGGCATCCCGGGGCCGGGCCGGGCCGCTAGGCTCAGTCAGAACCTCCTTGCATAGATATTTGTGTCTTTTTTATTATTGGTAGTAGTATTTTTTGCCTTTTATTGCTTCTAAAAGTTCTTACTGCGTTTTCTCTCCGATCCGGACTCTGCGTTTGGCCTCCGTCGCCTCTTAGCCTTTTTTTTTTGTATGTTTGTTTGTTTGTTTGTTTGTTTAAAAAAGGGGAAAGGGAAAAATGGATTCTAGTTACAAATTGTCTTGGCCTCTCTCTTTCCTCTCAATCCACATTCCCTCCCGCCAAAATTAAAATCACAGAACGCTGAGACTAAGGGTTGGGGATAAGGGCTTCCAGGTCCAGGCTCAGGCGCCCTGACTTCTGCCCTCTACAAGAAAGAGGGGGCACCCTGCTCCTTTCTGCCTCGGCAGCTCGGTGTTAATAATAATAATAATAATAATAATAATAATAATAATAATAATAATAATAATAATAATAATAATAATAATAATAATAATAAGAAGAAGAAGAAACAGTATCCCACAGCTCAGCTGCCCCCTTACCAACGCCTTTGGGCCTGCAGGGGGAAAGGGGAGGAGGAAACCTAAGTGCAGGAATTGGGAATTAGGGCGGAGGGGTCTCCAGGGAGTTCCCGAAGAGGAGTCCCTGTAAAAGTACTCCCTGGGAAAAAGGAGGAGGGAACCTCTTGGGGAGAGAGAAGGCGAGTCCCCTGGGGGAAGCGAGGCCCCTGGGACGGGCCACCCACAGGTAAGAGGACCTCGCCGCCCAGAAGAGCAGCAGGATCGGCGGCCCGCTCCCCGCGCCCCGCGCCGGGTTAGGTGGGGAATGCCCCTGCGCTCGGGGGTGCTGGGGACAGGGGTGCGGGCAAAGGCAAAAGAAAAAGAAAGGGGCGGGCTCAAGGTCTCAGTTATGGAAAAACGCATTGAGCTCCTCGTACATGGGGCCCCGGTCGTGGTGAAGGTGCATATCGTAAGACAAGAGATTCTCCGAGTGGACGCCCCCGCGCACAGCCGACGAGCCGAAGACCAGCCCATGGCCCGTGGGCCGCGAGCCGGGCAGCGCCGAGTAGTGCATAGAGTAATGGTAGCTCTTCTCGTGGTCGGGCGACGAGTCCTGCTTGAGCGAGAAGTTGCCATTGAGACAGAGCGGGGGGCTCAGCGGGCCCTCGTACTCGGAGCTGTTGTAGTCCGGGCTCGC